CAATGGGGGATCTGAATGAAAGAGATTCGACTGGACTTCTCCAGCAGCTGGGCGGTGGAGGAAGCCCTCATGAGAACATTTCTCTGTCAAATGCAAGCTGGGGTCTAGAGTTTCAAAACACAGGCTGGGTCACACCGGCACAGACCCACGGGAGGACAAAGGAAAAAGCATGGATGGAAGAGAAATCACGACACAGCAAGTTCCACAACTAACTCTGCTGGGAGGAGGCTCCTGGGCTGGCTTCCAGCCACATCCGCTCTCTGCACAGCCATAAGGCAGCAGGAAGAAGGGACCCCACCACGTCTGTATTTACAGCTGGGAACTGGCACCAGCACGGGCAACTCGGAAATAAACTCAGCCAGGAAGTGAGAACTGGAAGACGCTTCCATAGCAACGCCCATCTGGAGATCCCTGCCCACAGCTGGAAACATTCAGAATTGAGGCTAATCTAGGGATGTACACCAAATTCATTTTTTCCATTTGTACCTGAAATGTGTTACTTAAACTTCAATTCCTTGGCGGAACCTCTGGGGAGGTCCTGCTTGTGGCTCAAAAAATTCTTCTGACATTCAGAACACATGACCTATCCCTGTGGCATGCGTTTCTTGTGTCTTCTCCCTCTGTCTGTGAGCTCCAAGGGCAGGGACTATGTCTGCTTTGCACACTGGTACCTGGCCCAGAACGGGCCTTCGATCAATGTTTATTGGATAAATAAATCAACTCTGTTCCCAATTTTACTGCTATTTATCACTTCAGCTAACATGCAAGCACCCACATGTACAGGCAGGGTGCTGAGCTGTGCGACACCTCCTGGGGTACTGACTACTGTCGTGCCCATCTAAATGGGGCTCTTCCTCAAGGTCAGAGCCACAGAAGAACTGGAGTCCTTTCGTCTCCGGGGAAGGATGGGCGAGAGCATGACTACCTAGAGCAAGGCTGGGCACATGGTGGAACGACGGCCCAGGAATCAGCTTTGATTTCAAGAACTTTCCGAGTAGAAACTTTACAGGGCTGGAGTCTACTCCAGCAAGGAAGGCGGGCACACAGGTTGCTCGGGACACGCGAACACTAAGCAGACGGCTGCAGAAGCCACCGCTCATGTGATTGCTTCTCTTTTAAACATTCTTCCTGTTTGTGAAAGTGGTACATACTTATATACACACGTAAAAAACTTGGAAAATAAATGTGCAAAGAAGAATATAGAATAACCACTGTAAAGACACTGGCTCACTTCCTTCCAGTCTTTTTTCCTAGTGGGAGCAGTGTACAGAGAAGTGGAGAGAGATTTCTCCCCTTTCACCTGTGCTTTTCTAGGGAATTTTAAACATCGGGTAAAAATTAATATTTTAAAATGGCAAAATGAAGCCTATTTTCCCGAACTAAAAACTCTTCCAATTTCTGCTTCCATCAGAACCGCTGTTACAGATCAGTGGTTTTTAATCCTACCTGTGCCTGACCATCACAGCAGCATAACTGCCGTGGTCAGTATTAATTGAGCAACTACTACAGAAGAAGCTGTTTTAAACATTTTACAAGCAGTATTTAATTTTATCCTTTCAATCCTATCATTATTTTACAGATAAGGAAACTGAGGCAGATAGGTTAAGCAACTTCCCAAGGTCACACGGCCGTGAAGTGGTGGTGCTGGGATGTGAACTCAGGCCAGCTGGCCCCAGGTACCCTTTTCCCTTGGTCCACACTGCTCAAGACACTGGCAACACAACACCGACTATGAGCTTCAGGGCAAGGTTCCCAACATCCCTGCTGCCAAGTTTGTCATGATTACTCATGTCTCTCCAGACTCATTTTATTTCCTAAAGGAAATGAGAAAAATTCAGCAGAAATGAGGCAGCCGGAAGCTGCAGCTGACCAGATGCACACGTGGGTCTCCTGCTAGGATGCCTAAGAAACATTCTTCATGAATGACCTTTCTGGGAGGGCCAGGGGTCAGCTCCTGGGTGCATCACTCTCCACTGATCAAGACCCCACCCAGAGTCAGATGGGATGTGACGGCCCCTCCCTAACTTCGCCATGAAGTAGATGGAAAACAGACTGGAAAATTCACAGCCCACCCCCTATTTACACATGAATCTAGAAAGAGGGTCAGGGGTGCTGGCTGTTTGACAGGGGTGGGCAAGGACCCCTCGTGTGTGTTCAAGGGATTAGTGGGGCTGGAGTCAATGCTTGGTCATGATGCGGGATCAGCCAGTTATGTGTGTACCATCATCACACAGATCCTTGGAGTAAAAGGCTTGCGACTCCCTCCTCCCCGTGACAAAACTAGACCCGCCACCAAGGGAGGTTTCCCAGGAGTTGGTCACCAGGGAGTTTATGTCCCCTCCGGGGCTAGAAGAGAAAACCTCCACTTCAGAAAAAGGTAGCTGAGTGGCCAGTTCTGGGAACTAGATGAGAAATTACTGCTTTGCATCTGAAACCCACTAGCCTTCCAGCTACTGAGCCAATGGGTCTCCCCATAAAGGGGGTCCACAGAGAGGAGGATTTGGGAAACTGAGGGCTGCAAGGCTGTCATTTATCCACACCATCTGGTCCACATGCAAAATGCTTGCATGCGGCAGCTCAGTAACGTCTCACCACTACTCAATTTTTAGGCTGAGTGTGTGCATGCGCGCGTGCGTGTTGGGGGGTGGGGGCTGTTTTTTGTTGTTAACATTGTAAAAAGTCAAGAGAAAGGTACAATAATCTCCCATGAACTCAAACCTAGACTCAATAATCAATCAAGATTCTGCTCCATAAGCTTTATCTATTCCTTTCCCCTACTTTTTAAAGTATTTTAAAGTAAATCTCAGATAGCATGTCATTTTGCCTTTACATTTCAATTTGCAATGCTGCAAAATATGGCCACTTTCTTATGCATCCATAATATTAGGCTGGGTTCATTACTAATCAAAACAATAATGAATGTTTTCCTAAAAGATAAGACCCAGTATTGACTAAGGAGAACGGAAATGGGTCACCTCGACTTCTACTGATGGGAAAATGCCTTTCTGAAGGGCCTCTAGGCAGTACAAATCCAAAAAGGTTTAACAACCTCTGCATATCTTCTGACTCAGCTTTTCCATTCATGCATTCATCATAAAAATATTTACGATGTCCGTCATGTGCCTGGCGGTGTCTTAAGCATTTTTCTCCTCGGTATAGATGTGAAAACTGAGGCACAGAGAGGTAAAGTCATTTGTCTGAGGTTACACAGCTCTTACATGCCAGAGCCAATATTTGAACCCAAGTGATCTAGGTTTACATGGCAACACCAGGTCCTGGCCAGCTGGCATTCTGGGCCTCCTACCTGGGAGGGCACTGCTCCCGAGCACTTCCTCCCCAGACTGGCAAGTTTTTATGACGTGGAATCTGCCTATGACGTACGTGGCAGAACTCCTGCTCCCCTTTTAAAGGCAGTCCAATCACTGCCCACCATTCTCTACGCACTCCTGTCTTCCCCACAGTTCTCTCTCCCCAGCCAGAATTTCTCTTTCCTCTGTGTTCCCACAGCAGCTGGCGCTCACCCTCCATCGCCTTGTGCCCTGGGTGTCCCCTCCTGAGAAGGCGGTACTGTACAGAAGTTAAGACAACAGGCTCCGCAGAAGGAAAGACGGAGGTTCAAATTTCTGCTCTGCTGCAAACCCTATGAGATCCTGGCAAGTCAATGCCTCATCTCTCTGATCTGTGATTTTTCTCATCTCTAGAGGGGGTAGTAATAGCACCGACCTGCAGCAGACACTGGTTATATAGCTCACTGCCATTTCCAACCCACCTCTCTTGCTGCCTCCCACTGTAGAGATACCACTTTCCCAGCCTCCCTTGCAGCTAGGGGTGGCCATGGGCTCCTTCATGGCCAATAAGCAATAAAGAGAAGTCTGCTGAGCTCATAGATACAAAGGACAAACTGATGGTTGCAAGAGGAGAGGGACTGGGGGGTGCTGGGTGAAAAAGGTGAAGGGATTAAGAAGTACACATTGGCAGTTACAAAACAGTCACGGGGATGTAAAGTACAGCATAGGGAATATAGTCAATAACGTAATAACTATATATGGTGTCAGGTGAGTACTATACTAATGGGGGTGGTCCCTTTGTAAGTTATATAGATGTCTAATCACCATGCTGTCACAACACTGAATGACAAGAGTAATTTAAAAAAAAGAGAGAGAAGTCTGCTGGGGCTAGGGGTGTTTATGGGAGCACACTCCCTTCATAAAGGAAGGGCGCAGGAGGAGAAAGCCTGTCCCCTTGCACCTTCCCCCTACTTATGATGCTGTCAGTAAGGATGTGACCATCAGGCAGGGGCAGCCATCCCATGGCCACGCAGTGACCACCATCAGGACAAAATGCCTGCACGCAGAGGGCTGGGACATAAGGACCCCGTTCTTGAGGGTGTCACTGAACCTCTGCACCGACCTGGAGCTTGTCTCCTCCACCCCTTGCAGTGAGACAATGAGTCCTCCCCATTGCTCGGCCATTCAGCAGGCATCCTGTTACCTGCAGCCTGACGTGTCCCAACCAATAGACTGCCTCGCACAGAGGGTTCAATGCCAACAGGCATGTGAAGTGCTTAGCATGCTCTTGGCACGCACTGATGTTGGTTAAAGATTATTACCATTATCACAATTAGCTGCTCGAGGCCCCACCATGGCTTCTGCACCCCACCACAGAGAGAGAAGATGCCAGCGACAAACACTTGGTACATTTTGTCATCTGCACTGTCACCTCCGACAGAGGAACTACAGCTGCCAGGCTGCTATTCCACTCTGAGGTGGCTGCGACTCGGCCTTCAGCGCATGAAAAAGCCAAGAACGAGAGGGGCACAGGGACTCAATAGCTCAGCCACCCGCCGAGGGAGCCGCAGCCTGTCCACAGCTGAAAGGCAAGATTAAAGCCCAGCTCGGACCCCGTCCTCCACCTGCCACACCTGATGCCAGGATCTACCTGCACGGGCACCTTCTTCGCCACATCCTCAGACCACCTGTACCACTACTTCCACTACTTACTCTGCACTTTTCTTTAGCTGTCTTCATTTCATTTTGGCTAACATACCAACGTTAGCCGCAGCCAGAGCAGAAACAGCCGTGGAGTACTGGGTTTGATGTGCAGTTAAAATCCTTTTCCCGCTAGGCATTAAAATAAAAGTACAATTACTAGAATGTTACCTGTTTGTTCACATACTACCTCAAATGACCCAGTGGAGTGATCTGGCCCCAGGAAACCCATGCCAACAGCAACGAGATACTATTCCTAGCCGGGGTGCTCCCCAACCCCTCCTCCGCTCTTTCGCTTACATTCTGGAAGCACGAAAGCGCGAAGGCTAGCCCTGAACAAGCACTCCAGAGGCTGAGGTCGTCCCCAAACTCTTCCGTCAGGTCCCCATGGTGTATCCTTTCCCCTGACACTGTCTTCTAGGATGACTTAATAAAAACAGCAGTAGTAACAGCCAATGTGCACTGAGGCCCTTCTCTGTGCCAGGTGCTGCTTTGAAGACTTTATCTAGAATAACTCATGATCCTCACACAGCACCATGTGTAGTGGGTAGTATCACTCCCATTTCACGGATGAGGAAACTGAGGCTCAGAAAGGATTAAGTCGCTTGCTCAAGGTCCCACCATTCAGATGTGACAACATCAGGGCTGGCGCCCACCCTCCAAACCTGCTCACTGCCCTGCTGCTTCTGAAAGAGCCAACACTAGCCAAGCTCTGTGCTGACCGAAGACTGATATTGAGCGAGTCTGAGGAACTCCCATTAAGTCACGCCACCATTGGGGGCACCTGGGGAGCACCTGGGACCCAGGCCTGCCGACTCCTGTGCTCCCCCTCGCCCTGCACAAGTGTCCACAAAGCCAGCACATATGGGAACCAGAACGGAGCCTTCCTTTACTCTCCAAGGCCCTAGTCACCTCCATTCCCCAGCTTGCTCACTGTCCCCTTTTAGCTCGTGTTAGTCAACCCTGAGCGGTCAACTCCTTTCCTGAGAGGAGGAAAAGAGTCCCTGACACAGCTCAACTGTCCCTGGTGCCACCGTCTCTCATGCCCAAAGGGGAGCTGGCTGACCAAAGCGGTGTTTCCTAAAACTGATTATAACATTATTCTGTGCGAGGTTTTTCCTCGCCCGGCTGCTAGGCCTCAGGCCCACATTCTTCACTGATAACTCTAATCATGACAGCTAATGCTTTCCATGAGTGCCAGGCCCTCATGGCAATGCTTCACAGGTACTGACTCACCGAATGCTCACAGCATCCTTAAGAATGAGGTGGGGACTAGCGTGATCCTTGTTTTAACATGAGGAAATGCAGCTGCAGAGAGGTCAAAGCCACCGGCCCAAGGCCAAGGAGCTGGGAGTGGTGGTTCCAGAGGCCCTGCCTTAAGCACTTGGTGACACTGCCTCCCATGACAATCTCTCTCATGCACCCAGCACTCACAGAGTACCAGGCTCTGGACTACATAAGATGACCTCAACGAATTTAAAATATCTACATCACTGAGGTGTGTGTGTATGGGAGGTGGTAACCTCTCCACCTCCCATACACACACACCTCAATGATGTAGATATTTTAAAAATCAAAAGCCTTAAGCTCAGAGAGGTGAAGCCACCTGCCCAAGGTCACATGGCTAGCACAGAGTGGAGCCAGGGCACGGGTGCCTATAGTGTGACTACAAAGCCAGTAACTGTCCAGCTCCATAGCCTTATACCTACGCTCCCAAGGACCCAAGTCTCCACTCTGTTCTCAGCTAGCCCCTGAGAGAGATTAGCCTCTAGCTCCAAGAAATCAGGAGAGCTTTACGGTGGCAGGAAGCCCTGGCCATTTTCGCAGGTAGGACACAATTCAGCAGCTGCTCTCCTCCTGGTACTCGCTGCTCCGCACGGCCCCTGTGAAGCTTGCACATCCCCCTTGCTCAGGAGCTCATATGCAGGTGGTGTCTGGGAGCCAAGCTGGGGCTTCTAGGGTGACGCTGACTGACCAGTGACACTGCTCTTCCCCAGCCCTCCCCTTGGATTTTTCTCCATGGCCTTTTATCTGGGGGGTGTTTCCTCCTTTACGGACTGAAATTGGGGCTCTGCTTCCTTCTGAGTCTGGGCCTTCCTCACGTCCCCATACAGAACCGGTGAACAATCTTGGTCCCCTCCAACCGCCTGATGTGACCACAGGAGCGAGGACTCTGAAGCCAGATGGCCTGGGTTTACACCCCAGTTTTGCCACTTACTAGCTCTAGGACCTCAAACATGTTACCGCCCCCTTTCTGTGCCTCAGTTTCATCTGGAAAGGGTGGATGATGACAGGGTTGCTGTGAAGAGTTTAAAAACACTTAGAGTGGGACCTGGCACTTAGAGCTACATAAGTGTTTGCTGCTGTTAGCATTCATGGCCCAATTAAATACGCTCACACCGCTTGGGTGGGCGGAGATGTCCGCTGGGCCTCTAAGACCCTGTGATCACCCACTAGCTACACATCAGATAGAAGCAGCCTCTCAAAGGACCGACCCCACTGGCTTGCTGGTGGCAAAGGTCACATTTAGCTTCGAGCTGGGACAGGATTCGTGGTTC